ATAATTCACAAATATTTCACTTGATCCATCATTATTTCTCCACAAAACTGTTCCTTCATTCCCAATATTTCTCAGCTCAGGTTCTGCAAAATTGAAAATATTTCCTCACGTCAATTCAGGTCTTCTTTAGCACTTAGAATCTTCTGTCTCCCAAATGCCTTGTCTAATTGACCCAAATAGAAATACTCATACGAAAGTTACAGTTCTAAGACATAGCAAATTGATAACTAGAGATTCAAATCTAGTAATGATCATGACAGTGCAACATATACCACAAAAGATAGCTGTTATTCCAAAAGTATTATAATTCCTTTGGGTATGTGAGACACTTTTAATAACTAAATAGCTATGTCTGCTATCAAGCAAATTGGACCTAACCAAGACTCAAACAGCGTATTATAGATTGCATTATTGTTTGCCTAGATACTAAGAGACAGTCTTAATTGCTGTGGCAACATACAGAAAAAAGAACAAAAAACAAAATGGATCACTGCCTGATATCATAAGCTCTCATTGATGGTATAATTAGATAACATATCACAATCATATATTAAGCCTTTATATGGGCTTTTATAAGCTTCTGTTATTTTTTTTTTCTTGAAGTATAGTCAGTTTACAATGTTGTGTCAATTTCTGGTGTACAGCATAATGTTTCAGTCATACATACACATACATACATTCCTTTTCATATTCTTTTTCATTATAGGTTACTACAAGATATTGAGTATAGTTCCCTGTGCTATACAGTATAAACTTGTTGTTTATCTATTATATACATAGTAGTTAGTATCTGCAAATCTCGAACTCCTAATTTATCCCTTCCCATCTCCTTTCTCCCCTGGTAACCTTAAGCCTGTTTTTTATGCCTGTGAGTCTGTTTCTATTTTATAAATAAGTTCATTTGTGTCTTTTGGGGAGGGATGGGAGGGATTGCAGATATATGTGATATCATATGGTATTTTTCTTTCTCTTTCTGGCTTGCTTCACTTAGAATGATGATCTCCAGGTCCATCCATGTTGCTGCAAATGGCGTTATGTTATTCTTTTTATGGCTGAGTAGTATTCCATTGTAAAACCATACCACAATTTCTTTATCCAGTCATCTGTTGACGGATGTTTAGGTCAATTATGTTTTTATATAAGAAATAGAAAAGCATTTTAATAAGCCCCACAGAGGAATCCTACCTATACTACCAACAGTGAAAGGAAAATTTGCTACATATCAAACCTTGTGATTGACACCAGGCCACTATACACAATTACCAAGATTGTGAACTGATATCTAACGTGGGTGTCATCAGACAAGAAAGGATTCTTAGATAAAACTAAAACACAAAATAGACTGATCAATGCATAAGACTTTTATTCTGAATTATCAAAGTCAAACTGATACCACTAAAGAGTGCAGGCAAACCCATTGACTTCTTGAGGAGCAATGAAGAGATGGCAGTCTCTGTTATCACAGCATCTTTCTGCTTTCACAGCTGGCAAATTTTTGGCCAGCATTCACCCTTGTCATTTATGGAGAAAGCAGTGCCAGAAATCATAAGGTGATTTTAGACAAGGAATGAATTAGCTTGTAGGAAAACTAGCAAATGACAGAATCAGGGTGAATACAGGAAAGAGAGCACTGCTACCTTTACAATGTAATTCCCAAACCCACAAGTGCTCCTGTCGACCTTCTGCAGAATGGCTCAGGCAGCTATTCAGTAGGATAGGTCTATGAAAAAATTCATGAGCATCCTAAAGTAATAAGGTATTTCCCGAAGTGACCTGTGACACTAGTGAAATTCAAGACAATGGAACACGGCATAAAGGATGTGTTCAGGGGATACAAGTAAACAGGACTAAGTAACACTGGTCCAAAGATTGAAAGTCAATTCCCTTTTCAATTCTTTATCAATCCTAATTGTTAAAAGAAGAAGTCTCAGTCTGGTGCTAGAATGTCTTTAGCTTGTACCTCACAGTTGCAAATCTTTTAATAGTAAGAGAACAGACCTCAGGCTCAGAACCAACCAGGGAATAGTATCTCAGCTAGAATTTAATAACATTTGTTTTCACTGTAATTATCTTCACAGTTACTTTCTGGTTACAGCAAGTGATACCCTTATGGCAGTAATATAAAGATTCCTTTTTTTAAAAACTTGTGTCAATTTAATGAAAAATATTAAGTACATGATAGCACAGCTATCAGAGATAGGGCAAAAATGGTAAAGGTGACATCAAGGTGACTAGAGTCGGGAAGCAGAGAAAACTTTGCAGGAAGCAAAGAGATAACAAAGCATCATCCTAGCTTTTAACTGATTAGTCCTGTATCCTTAGTGAGTTCTAAGCTCCCCAGGCCTCACTTTCTTCAGCTACAAAATGAGAAATGACCTAGCGCTGGGTTTTCCAAATCACCTGCACGCCAGCAGTACAACTGCTACTACATCCACATAGTACCTGTCCTATCATGAATTTAATTCTTCTTAGGTAATTTTAATTAAAATACACTTTATTTGAATAGGACACTCTAGCATTATTAAAAATGAAAACCCAGTATTTTAAAATACACTTATGATTATTAATTTCTGTTTAATTGCTTGTGTACCACTTATTCACATACAATGGGCAACAATTCTGTAAGGCAGAGCTTCCCATTCCGTTTGCTGAGGACGCAACTTGCGGCAGATGGGTTGGAGGCAGAGCCAGATACTGACCCTTCACGCCTCGAGGTGGCAGCACAGGCCCTGAGATTGCTGGAGCCCCGCGCTGTTCCTTCTGCAGCCTTGTCTGTTGACCTCAGAAGGCTCTATGTCTGTGTGCACGTGCGAATGCACATCAGCGTTTTCTTTGGTTGTCATGACATGAAGAAGGTGGGAAGCATTTGTCTAAACCATCTTTTGGCTCTGAGATTTCATGATGCAGATATTTTCTTTTTCTATTTTTATTTTCAATTTTCTTCAGCACCAAACCCAAAGACCCAAAAAAGGAGTGTCAGAACGTGCCTTGAGAAATTTAGAAACCCTTCCATCTCACCTATAAGTAGACCACCACCACTCAAAAACTGATATATTAGAATGACTGATTTTATAGTGATCACCATGAAAAAGTTTTATCCCAAATCTTACTGCTAATGATCTTTTTAAAGATTTTTATTTGAAAAACATTTTCTCTAACATATATATTCACACAGATAGCCTTACTCACCAACCATTTTCATTTTGACGTTTGGACAGTATCTGTTCCTTATCCACAGAAACGTTACAGGAAACACCTAGAAAGAAGAAAGTAACTATTTACTAATGCGGTTTGTTGTGATACATATGAAAACATTTAGAGAACTTCTATTCTACACAGATTTTATTTATTTACTTTTGGTATTGTTACAAGCCTTTTGTGGGGGGGATGGGAGAGGTGATTAGGTTTATTTATTTATTTTTTAAATGGAGGTACTGGGGATTGAAGCCAGGACTTTATGGATGCTAAGCACACTCTACAACTTGAGCTACACCCTCCCCTAGAGAACTTCTAATTCAATTTTCATTTTAGAACTCAGAAGGCCAGAAAAAAATAAAGGTCCAAAGTCACATACACACAGGGGTGGTTTAAAACTAAATGTACAGGTCTTCTGGAAGAAGATGGCAGAACAAAAGTTATTTCCTTCCCTTCCCATGAACTTAACCAAATGAATAAAATTAGGGGATGAAATTCAATTGACAATAAAACTTGGAACAATCAGAACCTCAAACCACAGACTACCAAGAATACTCACCAGACACAGTAAAATTGGGATCAAAACCAAGGAAGACGATTAAAGCCTGCATACACATCTCCAGATCTCAAACACAGAGCTCATTTTTCTAGAAGTAACTGAGAGGGTCCTCAGGAACCCAGCCCCAAATCTTTTAGACCACAGCTTGGACAGGGGTCACAGATGAACCCTAGAAAAGCAGGAAACATCCCCAGGGGACCCAAGTCCAGGATACATTAGAGGAGCGGGTGGGGGGTGGAGGAACATGAAGAAGGGACATCAGATCTAAAACGGCCAGAGCAGACTCTTGATGTCACCTCTTCCTAGAGTCCACCTTAACTGGGTAAATCCACCTCCATCTACCCGGGGCCATCCCTGATTCCTCATCCCCTCGCCCTGCTCCCCGACACCCACTCCACTCATCAGCCCTGTCAATACGACCTGACAACCCTCACTCCACCCCCACGCCACCCCCACCTCCCCTGCCCGGACGACTGCACTAGCTCCTGACTGACCTCCCCACTTCCACGCTTACTCTCCTCCTCAGTGCGTCCTCCAAAGAAAAAACTGGGTCACCTCACCCTCCTGCTTAAACACCCCACTCACTAGAATAGATTCTACAGAACAGCCTACAAGGTCCTGAATTTTCTGGCCCCTTCCTTTCTCCTTAAATCTTATCTTTATTCTACTATCCGGCCACACTAGCCTCAAGCCCTTTGCACTAGCTGCTCCCCTATGCCTGGAAAAAGCAACGCGCATGACCCCAGAACTGAACATGCAGCCAAGCTGACATTCATGTACCAAGACAACATAATGACATTTTCAAGCACTCCAACTTGAAGTTTTCTTGGGGATGAGGAGACCACTGATGATGATTAATCAAATAAACAACTCAGGAATGAGACAGCTATTAATAAGCTTTCCTATTAATAAAAGTCCTGGAGTTGAGAAATCAGTTCATCGAAACATTAAAGCCAAATGACCATGCTATGGCTACAGAAATGTTATAAATCTTGACAAAGTAAAAATAATTAAACTAACTCAAATTGGGGTCGGGGGAATAGAAATTAATCTAACAGTTCATTTCTTTACCTTTCTTTGGGAGGGAGGAAAGATGAAGGGGGGTGTTAAATTGATTTCTCTAAAGCTGAAAAAAAATATATATATACACACATACATACATAAAATATATAAAATACTTCAATTTTAAAAACTACTAGTATAGAACAACTGGATAAAAGAATCCTATTTTAATAGATAAAATAAAACAAAGGAAAGGGCCCATGTGATAAAGAATAGAAAAGATGTAAGTACGGTAAAACTGAAGACTTAACACCAAACGTATTATTTCTTAAAAAGTCGTAACACAAACTCACCCACCAAAATAAAGAACTTCTCCTACTGTATCAAAAATCCCAACCGAAATACATAATGCTGTTCTAATGGTGGCAACGCTGGAAAAAATTCCCCTAAATAAATACTAGGAAAACAACAAAGCAAAAGAACGTTGGGAAAAACCTACAGGTAACTGGTGGAGCCAGAATTGGAAGCTAGAACTCCGACCTTCTTAACTCTTTTACAACAACCTCCTTCCTCTCCAAATTTTGATGGGATTATTTTACTGAAAGTTTCCTACTTTCTAAAAAAAAAATTTCCAGCATTGTGTTCGGTCAACTCTATGGTTTTAACACGTCAGACTGTAAAGGCGTCCGTTGATACAATAAGGTCTGAGTAATCAACCCTGACATCCTCTGCAGGAAGCAGGCAGCTGAGCAGCTTAATTTCCTAAATAAACTGTTAACAATATTATTTAACGAGTAACAACCTACTAATATCTATGAGGAGCAATAGAAGCTACACCCCAAATGCTTCAGCCTAATTGGTCTTTTTTTCCTAACTAATGCTCAGGACCATACTGATTCCTCTGCCGCTTTTCTAGGATGGGGGACCCCAGAGAAGGACCTGTCACTCGTGAGCCCAAGATGCAGCGGTGACCCTCCATCCCTTTTTCTGGGACAGTTCACCCTCTCTGGTTTTTCTGCTCTTAAAGACCCTGGGCAGCCCGAAAGCCATCTCAGGCCTCCTCCTGGGCCGCCCAGGTGCGGCACACCTGGAAAGAAGGCGGCCCCAAGGCTTAGGGCCTCCGCGGCCGGAACTCACAGCGCAGCAGGATGCAGTTGGTGTCCTCCTGGCTCGTCACCCAGCTCAGAGAATCGCCCAGAGGCCGCCGGCAGCGGGAGCACAGAAACACCAGCGGCCTGTCCTCCTCCTCGGCCGGCTCCGCAGCCTCCTCGCGCTGCGTCCTTTCCGTGCAGGCCACCGACGCGTCCCCGCTCACGGAGCTCCACATGCTCGCCCACTTCTGCAGCAGCTGGTGGCGGTCCGAGTCTTCGGAGAGCCGCTTGCCTAACAGCGAGGAGTCGCTCCACTTGCCTTTGTCGCCACATGCACAGCTAGCAGAGGAGCATCCTTTGCAGTAATCCGGAAACCAAGCATCCGCCATTACCTACAAATTGCCCGCGCCGCGGAGAGCCACGGGAAAAAAGACAAAAACAAAAAACAAAAAACCTTGCGCATGCGCGCAGCAGGGCGCGGCGGCGGAGGCCGAGAAGGGGCTAAAATCTGAGGGGCGGGGCCTGAGGGAAGAGGGATCGCGGGCCGCCTGGTAGTGCGCATGCTCGCCGTGGAACTGGGCCTGACCCGGAAGTCACTGCGCCTGCGTCAGGCTTTCTAATCCCACGGAAATCGAGGCTGCTGGAGGTTTGCCTGACTGGCTATTTGGCGAGGAGAGTTATCTCTTATATAGGAGGAGAGCGTGTTTGGGAAAATTACGCGCCGCAAACTAAGTCACCAGCTCTTTACCGAGACCTTAACAGTGGTTACTAAAGCGAATACGCCGGCCAAACACCACCCAGAAACAGAGGAGTTGGAGCACACTCCTGCTTTCGTCCCTCCTCGAGATGCTACAACCCCTCAAATTTAAGGTGCCCGAATCACTTGGGAGCTGATTAAAACATAGGTTTTTGGGTCGCACCTTTAGATTCTGGTTCAGTAGGTCGGGGCGGGCTCAAGAATTTGCTTAGCAAGCTCCTGGGTGCTGCTGATGCTGTCGGTACGGGCGGGGTCACTTTGGTTGCCACCGCTCTAGTTCGTCCGCCTGATTTCCTCGAGCTGAAGAAATCAGGGGTTGTTGGGGAACCACCCTGTCACACGTTCCTTTGCTAGAACAAGACTCTGGAAAGGGCCCCGGGTCACTCAGGCTAGCACTGCAAGGAAAAGCTGGAGAAGCGGGAGTAGGCAGCGGCGGTGTGGCCGGAAAGCTTGTAAGAGCCTCCTCTGCCTGGATCTGGGAGCCATTCAGCCCTTACACGGAGCAAGCATCCTTTCTGGGCAGTAAGGACAGCCTTCCTCAGGTACCCCAGAAAGCCACTTCTGACTTTAAAGCACCACAGATTGAGGCGGGAAAGGCTGGTAAAGAAGGGACCAGCTGCCTCACAGACAACCTGGCAGCGTATCTAGGAAGAAAGGTATCCCCAGGGAAGATACCTGGGAAGGTATCTGGGAAGAAAGGTGTCCCCTGCTGTTAGGACCCTTTGGGTGTGCCCTAAGTCAGTGCCCACTTTGCTTGCTCAGATAAACTATTTACAAAAAATTTACTTCCAGTTTTCCTGCCTCTGACCACTCACTAGCAGAAAGCAAAAGCTTTGGACTCAAAAACCTTGGGTTGACCTACCCCTCCAAGAGGTATAACCTGTAGGAAACTGTGGAAAGGCTACTTGCCTTCCCTGAGTTTAATTATTCAATACACCCGGGGTTGTTACGGGGATCAAGTGATATAATATGCATGGAGATACTTTATCTCTAGCACGCTGGGCCCATGTTAATTAGCCTCCAACTTGGAGACAGTGCTTCAAATATTTTAGTTTTTATTTCTCCCATAGAATTGCCTTGCCTCTTTCTGTTTCTTTTGTGGAAGCAAACCTGACCTCCCCAGACTGCTGTTTTCAAGCACAGCATCTCTGGTACAAGTAACTGGGTAGAAACCTTGAATCCAAGGGATGATCTCTTTGCCTCAGACTTTGGGTTCCTACTGGTAACATTTAAACTCTGTGCTGGGATATTCTAGTGAGGAAGGAATGCAAAGCAAGGCTGCCTGATGACTTTCAGCGGTCCTGAGCACTTTTGCCTTGATAGGCCCGTTCCTCCATTAAAAACAACAACAATAATAATAATTCTGCTTTACAATGGTATTGCTATTAAGACAAATATACAAATATTATATATTAAAATATTTACTTTTGTCTAAAAGTTCACTGTATTTCTGATTTCAAAATTAAGACATTTTCATGGGGCCCTAAAAATATCCTCATCCCCAATGCAAAATGAACTCCTCTTATAGTCACAAATATGTTTGTATTATGAATGTAAACTGTTTAGATACCTAAAAAGTCATATTTTATGTGGACAAAAAGAGATGCTTGACTAAGATGACTTTGGACTGGTTGGTTGTAGATGCTTCCTAAACAACCCGTCACACCCTTCCTGTTAGTTATACAACTAGGAGATATGGATCAGGTTGAGTCTAACCCCCATCACCTCCGCTACCATCACCACCAGTTCCAGGAATGGGTCCCCAGTAGTTTAACCCAATGGGGATAACCCACCTCTCTTCCATAGTGATTGGTGGAGCTATGGCTCCTACCCCAGGCTTAAGCCAATCATCACATGGTGCTCCCCTGGCACTGGGAATTGACTCAGGATAAGACCTTTACCTAAACTGTCGAATTCCATCCAGTCAGAGTAAATCTCAAGAGTTTTGTTTAGTGGTTGAAAGAAGAGATATCCTCTTTGTTCCCTGGATATGAACAAGGACGCACATACCCCGGCTGCTTCAGGCAGCCACCTCATAAACATGGAGAAGGGCTGCCCTGGAGAAGGGCAAAACTGAGAGAACTACAGAGAAATGGAGCACCTGATCTCTGGACTTTTTTCACTTACATGAATTCACAAATTCTCTTTATTGTGGAAGCCAGTTTGAATGGTTTTGTTGTGTTTCTTTTTACTAGCAATGAAAAGCATACAGAACACACTGTTCCAGTTCTGTTCCAGTTGAGGCTTTGACTGAGACTCCAAGATGTGGTAAGGATAACTTACCAAAGTGTATATGAGAACAATTGTTTCCCCCACCCCTACCCTACCTGCTGCCCCTGGAGGAATCTGCAGACCAGATATTGGAGAATGAATTCCCTCTTGCCCTTAAACCTCCTCCCATATTTAAGGAATATTAGAGACTGGAGAAAGTGGTGTCAGAGATGACTTCGTAAGGTTTTCTTTGGAGACTGGCTGGGTTGTGAGTTTCAGTCCTCCCAATAGAGAAGGTGAAGTGTATCTGCTCCCTTGCTTCAATCTGGCTGAAAGGAGACCAAGGAACCATTTCCAGAGCCCATGTGTCCCCAGGTGATGGCGGACACAGTGACCAGCAGGAGAATCAGGCTGTTGAGCTGACTAGGGGGCACAACAAAGCTGAGCCAGGTAGATTGTCAACCAGATAATGAATTTGATGGCAGGAAGATCACCTAGAATCTTAAGTTCTGCCCAAAAAGATAGGCCAGAAGAATGAAGATTCTCTATCAGGCAGCATCCAAGTGTGAAAAGGACCCTGGAAAACTAGGGCCAGAGGGGACCACCAATCAGAGGGGAGACCTTCTTGGTCATGGGTGTGCACCTGGGGGTTGGAGTGCAGGAAATTTCTGCGGGGCCAGGAGAGAGAATTGGTTCTAACCATGCCAGGAGAGTGCAAAACCAGGCTATGACAGAACCAGTTCAAGTGAAACTGTCCGCTCTCCTTTGCCCCATTTCAGTTTAGGAATGGCATCAGCAGGGAGTGGGAGTGGGGGTTGGGGGTGTTAAAGAGAGCAGAGCCAGCCACATGTCCTGCCCCCATTAGAGGCAGGCGCCCACCTCCACATCCTCCCTGGGGAAGGAGGATGATTCTTATCCTGAAGTGAAGATTGCAGTGTTGATTAATATCTTGGGCTGAATACTGTCATTTTATCATTGAAATTCTGTTCACAACTTAAGTGCCTGCCAATTTGTCTACTCCCTAAGGGGGTGCACTCAAATTCCAATAATAGGGGGAGGGTTTCCTTACAAAGTGTCAAATAACAAAGGTGAAGACTGCAAGCAGGGGAGCCTCAAGAGGTTACAGGCACCCAGGTTAATAGCACAGAGCTGACACCACCCCCTCCCTAACCCACAGGAAGAGAGAGGTT